TATATATATATATATGTCTAAAATATAAATATATTTAAAAAGTATATATAAAATACAAAATAGTAAATTCCAAAATGTATATATGAGTACACCTGAATATTCAAAATGAATATCTTAAATATTCTAAATATAAACAAATTGCAAATAAGTACATTCTAAGTAATATTTTATGCATAAAGAATAACCTAAATAACAAAATATTCGGAAAGCTTAAATCACAGTTCTGACAGAAGCAAGGCTTATTCCTCCTGTTGTTTTTTAAAGGTAGTGTCAAAGGTCATCAACGTGTCCTCAGCTGTGCATACTTCTTTCATATTGGTCAGTTTAAAAGCCAGGTGCCATAAAAAAGCAGTTTTAACAAGAACCTGCAGAGACATGACATCAGATTCTTGAGCATCTCCAGCCCAGCCCTTAGGGGCCCCGCGGAGCCGGAGGCAAGAGACATAAACACAGTTACCAAACACATAACGGACTCACATTCTCCACAAGTGGAACGAGCACACCTACAGTATAGCCGTATGTTTTAACTATAAACACAGCTCAAAACACATCCTCAGATGCTACCCAGCATGCACCCTGTCTAATCTAATAGAGCCTCACAAACAGACTAATCATAATCTCATTTTCTAAATTATGATAACTCACCACAACAACGTTCTCTCAGTGCACAACCAGGGGTGTATCTACTCAGAAATCACAGCATACAGTGACCTCTCATATATACTTGCTCGAAAGGTCTATGTACTCAAACTCAGCTTTCCTCGGATCCTGATGAAAATATAATCTGACATTATGTTTGTCCTTCTGGCACATAGTGTGCAAACACACTCGGGAACGCATGCAAAGATGCAAAGTCCACTGCATGTGTGGGTGAGGGTAAATACAGATTCAGTGGTTTTGACTAAAAACAGATACACGGTCATTGAATCATGATTAATTCAGACAGTTTAAAGTTTCCTATGATCACATGACCTACACTGACACAGAATACCATGTTTACCTGTCACCCCTCCCATTCCTTGTCCCAACAGCATTCAAAACAGTTGCTAAAAATGCACAGAGATCACCAACCTTCAACGCAAACTTGCGGCTGATGTTATCCGATGCCTGGAGTGCTCCAATCTTGAAGCTGAGAAGAGGAAGGCTGCCCAACACTACTTCTTCCTTCTCGTCTGAATGGAATAAAAAAAAACATTGAAAAAGCAAAAGAAATAAGCATTAATACTAAAGTAAAAATAAAATACAACAAAAAATACAAATAAAAAGCATTTGTATTCCAACCTAGATTTCAAAACGCTGATTATAAAATGAGGTGATAATTCCGTCCCAAATCAGAAAAGTCCAACTTCCTGTTGTGTGCCGCTACACTGGTGATGACAGGCAGTGGTAATGGAAAAGCAGGTAAACTGCAGGTGAATCCCATAATAGATATCCATTTTTATCTCAGCGTAACGCTAATGACACTGAAGCGAGCAGCAGCACGCAGCCTAGGAGAGAAGCGCTCGGGCTGGTTAAATAATGGAGTACATCGTTAAATTTTCAGCATGAGCAGAAGCAAGGAGGGCAACGGAGATCCAGCATTCACGTTCTCGATCTCCTGTACTGAGAGCTGCTGCCGGGGAAATGCAGTGAACCCACCCGCGCATGTGTTCTGACAGCGCTCTGTGTGTGTAAATGAGAGACAGGGAGGGGTGGAGGGAAAGGAGGGGTGGAGCAGGTTGTGTTTGTACTGTATAGAAGTGGGTAGAGCGAGAGAGAGAGAGAGAGAGAGAGAAAAGATAGCCATCATCCCTCAGTGACTCAGTGCTGCAGGAATTCTGGCTCTCGACCAGCTGTACCTGCACTGAACAACCAATCAGAGCCTATTATTCTATACAAAATAGTAAATTCCAAAATGTATATATGAGTACACCTGAATATTCAAAATGAATATCTTAAATATTCTAAATATAAACAAATTGCAAATAAGTACATTCTAAGTAATATTTTATGCATAAAGAATAACCTAAATAACAAAATATTCGGAAAGCTTAAATCACAGTTCTGACAGAAGCAAGGCTTATTCCTCCTGTTGTTTTTTAAAGGTAGTGTCAAAGGTCATCAACGTGTCCTCAGCTGTGCATACTTCTTTCATATTGGTCAGTTTAAAAGCCAGGTGCCATAAAAAAGCAGTTTTAACAAGAACCTGCAGAGACATGACATCAGATTCTTGAGCATCTCCAGCCCAGCCCTTAGGGGCCCCACAGAGCCAGAGGAAAGAGACATAAACACAGTTACCAAACACATAACGGACTCACATTCTCCACAAGTGGAACGAGCACACCTACAGTATAGCCGTATGTTTTAACTATAAACACAGCTCAAAACACATCCTCAGATGCTACCCAGCATGCACCCTGTCTAATCTAATAGAGCCTCACAAACAGACTAATCATAATCTCATTTTCTAAATTATGATAACTCACCACAACAACGTTCTCTCAGTGCACAACCAGGGGTGTATCTACTCAGAAATCACAGCATACAGTGACCTCTCATATATACTTGCTCGAAAGGTCTATGTACTCAAACTCAGCTTTCCTCGGATCCTGATGAAAATATAATCTGACATTATGTTTGTCCTTCTGGCACATAGTGTGCAAACACACTCGGGAACGCATGCAAAGATGCAAAGTCCACTGCATGTGTGGGTGAGGGTAAATACAGATTCAGTGGTTTTGACTAAAAACAGATACACGGTCATTGAATCATGATTAATTCAGACAGTTTAAAGTTTCCTATGATCACATGACCTACACTGACACAGAATACCATGTTTACCTGTCACCCCTCCCATTCCTTGTCCCAACAGCATTCAAAACAGTTGCTAAAAATGCACAGAGATCACCAACCTTCAACGCAAACTTGCGGCTGATGTTATCCGATGCCTGGAGTGCTCCAATCTTGAAGCTGAGAAGAGGAAGGCTGCCCAACACTACTTCTTCCTTCTCGTCTGAATGGAATAAAAAAAAACATTGAAAAAGCAAAAGAAATAAGCATTAATACTAAAGTAAAAATAAAATACAACAAAAAATACAAATAAAAAGCATTTGTATTCCAACCTAGATTTCAAAACGCTGATTATAAAATGAGGTGATAATTCCGTCCCAAATCAGAAAAGTCCAACTTCCTGTTGTGTGCCGCTACACTGGTGATGACAGGCAGTGGTAATGGAAAAGCAGGTAAACTGCAGGTGAATCCCATAATAGATATCCATTTTTATCTCAGCGTAACGCTAATGACACTGAAGCGAGCAGCAGCACGCAGCCTAGGAGAGAAGCGCTCGGGCTGGTTAAATAATGGAGTACATCGTTAAATTTTCAGCATGAGCAGAAGCAAGGAGGGCAACGGAGATCCAGCATTCACGTTCTCGATCTCCTGTACTGAGAGCTGCTGCCGGGGAAATGCAGTGAACCCACCCGCGCATGTGTTCTGACAGCGCTCTGTGTGTGTAAATGAGAGACAGGGAGGGGTGGAGGGAAAGGAGGGGTGGAGCAGGTTGTGTTTGTACTGTATAGAAGTGGGTAGAGCGAGAGAGAGAGAGAGAGAGAGAGAAAAGATAGCCATCATCCCTCAGTGACTCAGTGCTGCAGGAATTCTGGCTCTCGACCAGCTGTACCTGCACTGAACAACCAATCAGAGCCTATTATTCTGTCAACAAAAGCCTAGGCAAAAACAATCCTGTATAAGAAACATTCATTGACATGGAAACCTATTTCTATTTTCGCCACAACAAAATATGCTTGAAAACACAACGAACTGAACATTGCATAAAGGAAGGTAATAAAAAGCACATCTAAACCTGTCTGTCATGGCTGTAATCAGTACAGACATTGACAAGGAATGTCGCTCCCAATATTCAGATTTGTGGTCGAAAGATATGTTTTAAATGGCTGATTCTTAATTTATTATGGTTAGCCACCCAATCTTTGAAATGTGGTTACAGACTAGCTGTCTGCATAAAATCTAATCTTACTACGCTTAATCGTCCTCGATACTGCTACAATGTAGCATTTTCATCTTAATTTCCAGTAAAAATGTAAAAACACTTTTAAAAGAAGATAAATTCACCTGACAAGTAAAACTGCATAAGATGATTAGACATGCTTTTGGAAATACATCTAGAATTAACTTTATTTATTTATTTTTACATACCCTGTTGGCATGATGTTTTCTCTTGTTTTCAGCATAATATTTTAAAAATAATAATAATAAACCAGAAACATTCTTAAAGACATATGCAAATCTTTTCCTCAATATTTTTTTAATTTATTTGTTTTAAGTAATCTGTTAAGGGATTGTCTTCACTGGAAAACAAGGTAAAAATACTGATTTTTTTCTTACTCAATCTGAACCGTGCCCAAGCTTTTACATATTTTCTTCAATGGGTCATTTTACAGAAGAACTGTTGCACAAAATACGGGCTGACAAATCAATCACACTCACAATCACTCACTCCATAATAACAGGTACATGTCAATACAAAAGCTGAGGCGATTCTAAACAACACACAGAAGAATCTTATTTTATAATGTAATTATTTTATATTCCAGTCATTTTAATAGGAATCCCCACGATCTTGCAGATTTCGTAACGGGTTCAAGTTGGCAAAATTTCGCTACGATTTCATTAATGTGACTGCACCCTAAGACTGGTTGCAGAGGGAAACTAGATCTGCTACTGAGAAACTTATTTATGTCAACATACACTGCTAATCATAACCCAGAATCTATTTTCACATTTAACAATCATTTCATCGAAGTTTCTTTTTTTGCCTGTTACCCTCTCTTCCTCGTACTTGGCATACGCCTCTGATATCTGCAGCGACGACAACAGCGGGCCATTTTTCATCGTCTCCCTGTGTTCAGAATACCAATTGAGGCATTAAATTGCTCTGTCACACATTCTCAAACTCTTTTGCACAGCACAGTTGGGTAGATGGATCCGGGGTGATAAGAGGACGTAGGGTGTTGTGCCTCCAAACACAACGCCGTCGCCAAGATATCAAGGGCAGCTGTGGAGACGTATGGGATACAGCCAGCCGTGGAGTGTTGCTGATTGTGATTTTTAAATAAATGACCCTCTCATCCCAGTGAGCCATTCAATCGAGGAAGGAAAGAAACTTCCTGGTGTTCCTGGAGTGTGTTTGTTATGCCACTAACAGTGACTCCTATTAATATTGTAATGTTGTTCAGCTGTATGCAGTTACATTTTTGAATGTACAATGATCTTTGTGTACAGTAGTTGCAAAATGTATTACAATACAAGTGGGATGACATTACGTTTGTTAGGATACTCAAACCTGTACATCACTTTGACTTGTTAGCACTTTTTCTGATGTAAACAGCATTGAGGTTAAAAACAGGAATAGTTCTATTCTATAAATAGTTCTAAGTTCTATACATTGAAACCAATGCATTTCATTGCCCACTACATAGGCAAAGAAGTAGTACGTTTTTAATAGTTTGTTTTTAGCACATTGCTAAGCTAACATGACTGTCACGAATTCGGTCCATGGACTTCCGTTTATTCACCACCAGAGGTCACCCTTTCCATTACATTGACTCTCGCACAACACAAACTGTTGCATAGCACCCCGGACTACATATCCCATCATTCTTTGCACGATTTGCACACTGCACTGATTGCACTCATTGCACACAGCTGTTTCTAATCACCTCACTCACTATATAACACCCACTCTAACCACCTTTCTCGGCTGAGTATTGTTTAGCCCGTACCCCTTTCCGAGTCTCTGTGTTTTCCTTGTTTTGCCTTGCCTTGCCTGTTTCCGCGGTTTCTGATCTTTGCCTGTTTTCCTGGATTTTTCCCTCTCGTCTCGCCCCTGTGATTCTGTCTGCCGATCGGTGACCTACGCTAGCCCTGGGACTATTCTTGTGTTTTGCCCGCTATATACCTGTTTGCCATTGTTTGACCCTGCCTGTTTACCACGTCTCTTTAATAAAGCTTGCAGATGGATCCACACGTCTCACGTCTCGTCAGCCCCGTTACAATGACACTAATAAGCATTAAAAAATTACATTGAACTATACTTGATGCATTTGGGCATTAAGTATTCATAATCAGCGCAATTATTAATTTATCTCAGCTCATCCACCATCTTGGATTGTTTTTTTTTTTTTCAGGAAATTGAGGGAATTTGGAGTTTGACATTAAAATACCTTTTTTTCTATTTTAATATATTTTAAAATGTTTTTTTTATGGTCAAGCTGAATTTTCAGCAGCCATAACTCCAATCTTCAGTGTCACATGATCCTTCAGAAATCATGCTAATATGATGATTTGATGCACAGAAAAATTCTTATCATTTTCAAAAGCAGTTTTGATGATTCATATTTTTGTGTAACCAGTGACACATTTTTTGATGAATAGGAGCTTCAAAAGAATAGTATTTTTTGATAGAAATAGAAAAATATTTTCTGTTGCTTTGTCTGCCACCTTGGATTTACTGCTTTTCATTAGGTGCCACAGTGCATTTGGGACAATCTTCTCTGTGAAGGATGTCAGGAGTGCTCCTATAAACCCTTAAAATGCTCCCTCCACAGACAGCTCACTAGGCTTTGGAACTGAGCATGTGTTTTGATGTTGTCCAAATGACTAACATCATTTGGAGAACATCATCTTTTGTGTTCCATGTGACATAAGTGAGTAAATTATGAATTTTCATTGTTGGGTGAACAAACCCATACACAGAGACACAAGCAAAATGCACAAAACAACCAAGCAAACTGCACAAAAACGTGCCGATCATGATGCATTTTCACTGTATGGTAAATTTGAAAACTATTTTTGTATTCTACTGGAAAGCAAAAACTTTTTGGCAAGAACAAACATGCAACATATTAACATTTTAAACAAGCTGTATTTAAAATCCATTTTGGCTCATAATCTAAAGGGGCACATGCTTCGTTACTTTGTAACTGGCATGATGCATGGTGCTCAAAAACCAAGACAACTTCATTGTTTTTACATGGGTGATTAACAGTCACAATCTCACAAAACAAGTTTGTTTCTGATACGGCATGCAAAGAGAACAGATACACAGGAACAAGAATCCCATCTCTGAAAACTGAGAACACACTAAAAACAACACCGATAGCAAGTGAAGAGTGAGTCTTACATGAAGACTGACATGTTTGGAGACATTTGGAGACACTGAGAACAGTTTCTCATATTTGCATTCCCTCAGAGAGTATCACTGTCAACTATGATCAGGTGCACACACATAAACACAAAAATACAGTCAGTGGATCTAAAACCAAAACTCCATGATTGAATAGTAGTGCCATCAATGTTGTTTGTTTTTTAAACAATGCACAATGAATCACTGACAAGAGTATTGTCATAAGATTACATAAGACGAAAAAAGAAAAAAAAAACTTGTGATTACATAACTTGATGTTTTGATTTATAGTCTTCTAAATGATAGACTAGTTACACCTTCTTCAGCAAATATGAAGATAAATCACTGACTGATATTCCCAGATGGTAAAGTTTGTGTATGTTAAATCACTTAAGGAAATGCAGTACAGAAAAGAGGACACAAAGATAAAGTACAGTGTTCCTTTTTAGTAACGAGGGACACAAGAGAAATATATGCAAAAAGAAAGAAAGAAAGAAAGAAAGAAAGAAAGAAAGAAGAGAGGAATAGGAGTGTGCTAAAAATATTATTCCCAAAGATAAATTTATGAACAAAATTTCAATAATACCTATAGAATAAGGAAGAATTCACTCAAACATTTAAATTCTGTCATTTAATCATCCTCATTTATTTCCAAAGACATAACAGAACATAACGTGGAACATAACAGAAGAAAGAATGTTGTCATTATTTTCCATGCAATTACAATGACTGGAAAAGGAAGCTCCAAGCTTAAAAAAAACATGCAAAAGTAGCGCAAAAGCATCATAATTTGGCAAAGTGGATTTTTTTTTAAACAACATTTTTACAATTTGTGAGGTTTGTGGATTTTGTGCTTTAAAAAAACTACAGTAATTAAAAAAATATACCTAATTCAAGAAATATTCTCTGAAAACAAGCTCTGTTACAATTTTGTTTAAATGTATAAAAGCCAATTACATATAAGAAAGATTTTACCGGAAAACAAGACAAAAATACTAAAAGTTAGTTATTAAAGTTTATTTATTTTTTAGAGTGTGGAAGGAAGAAATTCATGCTAAACAAGCTTGAAAGAAGAAGGGTGGAAAGGAATCCACTAAGAACTAGTGTGTTGCTGTTGACATACTGACTGCGGCTGCAGGACATGTGCTGGACATGCATCATCCACACCTGCGGGGCAACCTCTCATATGCTGACATGCCCAGTCTCATCTCTGAGAGCATGCTATCTGCCTATGGAGTTTAAATTTATCCACGAGAGCGTAGGCGGTGCTTGGGTGACAGAGAGGTTTGAAGTGTTTCAGTGTCTTGCAAACCCAAAATAGAACATTTGATATTCTTGTCAATGAATTCATCTTCTGTGGGAATTATTAGTAGGGTGATATCTAACAATAACATTCTGAACATCTTGCACTGACCATTTTCACCTTCCCTGATGGCATTAACCATTACGGACCCTGCATCTTTTCAAATAAACAAAATTATATATAAAATTTAAATAAAATCCATAAAATGTGTTAATTACTAAAATGTAAAAAATGATCATAAACATATTTTTGTTTGCTCATTATATTTTAGCATTTAGAGTAGAAATAAAGCATGGACAGAATGTTGGTGTCCCTGAAATATAAACCAGGTCTGAAAGGGTTAAACCCCCCTTCTGTGATTGAGAAGAACATGAAGGAACATCTAGACGAAGCTGCATACCAACTATCTTAACACCCTCCTCCATCCCACAATGCCTCTGGGTGATGAATCTCCATGCATGAGCTGTGACTGACCTTCACGGCTAGTCTAAAGGAGACGGTCATATATTCCCGTCACGCAGATCACAGACGCCGCTTTCTGAGAGCAAGTGATGGATGTGTTTGGATATTGTTTGAACAATTCACTACTAATTTGCTTCACACTTAAAGGTGAAGTGTGTCATTTCCGCACCAAACTGAATTGCAAAAAATAAAAATGTCTTCAATTGGCCAGTCAAACAGATAAACAGCGGAAAATTCCATCCAAATCTTACATGACAGGTTGAGCAAATGTTGCTATGTCAAATCAAGGATACCTAAACAAACTGAATGATGTTAACAGAGATGGAGCGTAGCGATAGTTCTAGCAGGCCATGTTAGTCAAGCTCGCATCAGCTGACACTCAGCTGATCCACGTCTACCTATAGGATCACGACACCAATCATAATTCCCTTCATAAGGTCCCTTCAGTCATTATTCAGCAGCTATCACTTCACTCAGGTGCTAATCACCCACCTCCATCCCCAGCTCCTCCTCTCGTCCAGTCAGGACTTGGCAGTGAATATATCATTGAATCAGACCACTGAATCATGCTGTTAAACTAATCACGTAGAACATTAATGGTATCTGCTACATTTATCATTGATGTTGGTTCTGTTCTGTTACCCTAGGGGGGGTATTCTGCTCTCCCTGCTGCAATCCATGCTAGGCTGCGTGGTTGGGCAGGGAGTGTTTGCCCAGAACAGAACCATTCCCCCAACCTAAAATGTATGCTAATCGTAAGTTATATTGACGATAGTGGTCCTGACAGAACTATTTTTACCATTTTCAGGGTTTATTAGAACTTACACTATACCTCAAACACATACAATTTTACGTAAACATTTAAAATACTTTTAATCTTATCATAATTTATTTTCTTAGATCTCCGACATTACACACTCCTTAGGAATCCAGCTACGCTTCATTTAATTTTTTCCAATAACAAGCTGAATATATATGCAAATTGAAATGTCATGTAAAAACATGTAATTATCCCAAAGCAAATCAAATGTAATTACTAATGTCTTGTCTATGCCTCGGGTGGAAGGGAACCACAAGTTGGATGCTTCAGGTTTATGTACTGTAAAACTCATCAGCCTGTGCGGCTGTCAAGACAACATCACCGAGTTCATGACAAAACAAACATGTCTAAACATGAAATCCTCTATTCTCAGCATAAAAATATAAACTACTGATGTGCAACGTAACCCTTACAAAAAAAAAAAAAAAGGTTCAGTGCCTGTATCATGGTGCTTTCTAAGTATTCATATATACAGTATAGTACATTAACATTCAAAAATTTGAATTATTTTTTAAGCTCACAAAGGCTGCATTTTTATTTATAAAAAACATTCATATTGTGAAATATTATTACAATTTAAAATAACTGTTTTCTATTTCAGTGAATTTTGAGCAAGCAGATGAAACAATAAATGCTCAATTGTGCGCATACGTTTTTTATGCGCATTTTTAGAATTTACGCGCATCTTTTTTTATGCGATATTCCAAAATGCGCATAAAAATAGGCGGATGGAAACATAGCTAATGTCTTTACTGTCACTTTAAATCAATTTAATGTGTCCTTGCTGAATAAAAGTATATTGATCCCAAACTTTTGAACAGTATTGTAGCATTAACTCAAGGTTCTTCATAACACCACGGTACATTTTTCGTTGACACAGCACAGATAATAGTTTCCTAAGGGCTTCATAGAGGTTGTGTGTTTGTGCTAGACTGTCATTATAGATCTACTTTTATACTTCTCTTCTCCACTATTGGCAGCACACAGCCAGTGTGCTAAAGTAATGCCATTGGGTAAATTCAAATGTTTTACAGAACAAACTGGTTTGGAAAAAATACTTTAAAATCATACAAATTTTGAGCTCCGGGGTACTCACTAAATGTTTCATCAAATTCATGACTTCTGCATAAACCAGCATCTATAGAAACAACCTACCTTTATAGTAGAAAAGACATCGATCTGTCAGCACGAACCAGCGCTTGTTCCACTGTTTCATACCACTGCTTGCCTACATTACAGAAAATGAGAAGAAGAAAAAAAAATCAAGGCCTTGAAACTACATCTAAGTGCCTAGACGTTTCTGAAAGAGAGTGGCTTAAGTGCGGATTATGGAGTTATGGCTTTGGGCTGTGTGAGTGTTTTTGTTTGTGTGGATGATGGTGAGGTTTAAGGATGAGCAATAGTACCTGCTTGTGAAGCCAACCCTGCCGGGCTACCTCAGCATTGGGGTTGCGTCGCATGGAGTTGGAGCGCTTCCCAAACATGGCGGCTCGCTTGGGTGTGGGTGTGCGCATGCCCTGGTGGGAGAGTCATGGAGGAGTGTTTACATAATAACACTAACAGTAAACACACACACACACACACACACACACACACATTCTGGGTAACAGATGACAGTTTCTATTTTAGAAACTAAAATAGTTTTAGTTTTTATTAATTAAAATCCAGCTGACAAAATAAAATTAGAAATGTTAGATGTTATTTCTAATTTAAAAATTAGAAATGTTGCTTTGGTAACTAACTGAAAAAGAATAAGTTGAAGTATAAACATCACTAAAACTGAAATAAAAAAATATTAAAGATAACATAGAAAATTTGAAATAGGTATATAATCTGGTATATAATATGTGACCCTGGACCACAAAACCAGTCTTAAGATAATATAATATAATATAATATAATATAATATAATATAATATAGTTTTATTTAAAAATGTATATTTGTACAACATAAATTATACATAAATATTTAATAAATAAATAAATAAATAATACAGGTCCATTAAATAATTTTAACATATACAAGAAAAATATTTTATTTTAAAATTCAGATTCAATAATAATTATAATAAAATTAAATACAATAATTAAAATATTACAGTATTTATTTTGTAAAAAGTTAGTTTATAAAAATACAGCTGTTCATTGTTTGTTGATGTTAGCTGAGGTCCATTAAATAATATTAATGAATACAGGAGTTTATTTAATAGAAATAAAAATATTATTAATAACTATATTATTATTAACAGTTTTATCACTACTGTGACTACTACTACTACTACTACTAACAGTAATAACAAAATTAAAAATGAATAATAAATACTGTCTATTTCTAGAAACGAGTTCATCTACAGCAGCTGTACTGACCCGTGTGCAGTTCTGGGAGTCTGGGGGCATCTCAGAAACAATGCTGAGATTGTTGGCATTGCTGTTTGCTTCACTGACTTTGTTCACGGGCCCCCTGCCACCCGCCTTGCCGTTCATTTCCGAATCAGATCTCCTGTGAGCACACAAACAAAGCCACTGAGCCATCCCAGCTTCTGATACCGTAACAAACTTCTCATCTGCCTGCGTTCAACGCACCAAAGCAGAGAAATAATTTTCAAACCAATATACTGAGCTCAAACTGGTGAAAAACTGAGGGATTATGGGAAGGAAGCACACAGGCATTCGGGGCGCAGCTATTTTTATTCCCAACTGGCACCGTCGCAAGGCCGCACCCCTGAGGTTGCAGTTTAAAAACAGGCCGATGGTTCATGAAGAATGTGATTGGAGTGGCGAAGAGAGAAGGAAAGAGAAAGAGTTTGTTGGTGGATGCAGGCCTGCATTCCCAGCTCAATCATATTGATCTCCTTACTGGGACGCCCAGGCCCTCTCCAACAGCCTTCGATTCACCGACCAGCAAGACAGATTAATTTACAATCCACTAGAGAAGCCCAGAGGCTAAAGCTTCCATCTTGGAAAGCTTGCTACCATCCGCAGTCGTTTATAAGCATACGCAAGTCATTATGAGTCTCTGAAGCAAAGAACATCACATAAACACATATGGAACAGAGCAAGATCGCACAGATCAAATGAGGACATAAAAACACACACAATCATTAGCGCAAAGTGGGAACACGCACACGACAATAACAATTACTACATTAGGACATGATACCCACACTAGAAACATCTCTGTGCTAATTATCTATTCTTTATTTAGCCATCGCTGAAAACAGCAGCTTCCTGCGTCGTATCAGGAAATTAATCAAATGAAATCCTGGAAGCACCTTGGTTTAATGGCATTGCCCTTATTAATGTGCTATTGGCTCTCGACTCAATATTATATCGATCTGGAGGAGAGTGGGATCTTGAGAGAAGTACTGTAAGTGCATTTTCTTTGTCCAGGAGGAATGTTTTAGTAAATTTATAGAGGAAATCAAGGAAATCCTGACATGTTTATCCTGCACGTTATATGACATAGTTCAAGAGTAATTAATAAAATGCTTTCAGGGTAATTTATCCTGACAGCGCTGTTTGTTTGTATTTATTTATGTTTTCGCAGGTGTATAATTACTGTATAGTGGCTATTATACAAAAAGGCAGACAAAACAGGGCTGGTCTGATAGGTAACTGTCTCATTATGGGCGTTCACACTGACATTTGCAGCAACAAAGAGACGGAAGTCAGTTGATGATTTCCACCGACATGAATGACAGTGACCGCTGCGAACACCACGTTTTTAGCAGCAAGTAAACTAATTCCTTGGCCAAATAAAATTACATTTCATGCTGAATTCTCAGCAGCCATTACTCCAGTCTTCAGAGTCACATGATCTTTCGGAAATCATTCTAATATGCTGATTTGCTGCTCAAGAATTTTTTTTTTAATCAATGTTGAAGACAGTTGTGCTGCTTAATGTTTTGCGGAAACTGATTTTTTTCAGGATTTTTCTGATGAATATAAAGTTCAAAAGGACAGCTTTTATTAGAAACAGAATTTTTCTGTAACAAATGTAAACGTCTTTTGTGTCTTTCAGTGACTTTTCATCAGTTTAATATGTCACTGCTGAATTGAACTATTCATTTATTACACTTGCAAATCACTTGTCTTAAAAATGGGGATGGCACTGCAGTGTGTTTAAAAAGAAATCACATACCCTGACTAAAATGATTACAGTTCATGAACCCTTTGGACTAAAGGCATACACTCTTAAAAATAAAGGAGGTTTTTGCAGTGATGCCATAGAAGATCCATTTTAGGTTTCTCAAAGAACCTTTCAGTCAGCGGTTCTTAAAAGAACCATTTTTTCTTAGTGTGAAAAACATTTTATAATCTAAAGAACCCTTTTCCACTATAAAGAACCTTTTGTGGAATGAAAAGCTTCCATTGATGTTAAAGGTTCTTCATGGAACCATCAATGCCTGTAAAGAACCTTAATTTTTAAGAGTATAATTGTAGTCGATTTTGAAGGAAGATTCTTGGTGAGCTTGTTTTCAGAAATAATTAAGCATGCATCCAAGCTGAAATGCTTTTTATGATAAGCTCTTATTCAACATGTCACAGATTTAGCAAAGGCAGTATAAAGCTAGCAGTATATTTACAAATGAATAAACAAAAGATCACTCACAGCAAGGGTTTCAAAGGTCCGTTCTCTTCAAGGTGTGTCTGGATCACTTGCTGGTATCCAGCTGTTCCGTTAGGGTCATTTTGACTGAGAAGAAAATAAAAGCCACTTAGGATTTCACTGACAAACACATTTCAATAAAGCCACAACAATCTTTTTAAAAAACGGTGTCTGGTAGAATATCAAGCCAACAGCAGCTGGAACTGATTTTCCATTTGTTTAAGATGCTCCATGACTTGTTCTAGTGGCTTCAAACCTGTTTCACAGCAGGCACATCCCTTCTTTATTAATAATTCAGCATTACAACATCAGATCCGATCAATACATGGCCACTTTCTTTGTAAGTCCATATGAGACAACTGCTGTGGAAATTAATGGCTGTCAGCCCTCGTGAAAGAGCATGTTAAGTGTGGACAGCTTTGCGCTCAATGGCAAAATATCAACAAGAACATGTCAGAGTTCATATACACCTATTATATTGACTCTGTATTCAGAGAAAACATATCTTTTGTCCATATACAACACCTGAAGCCTGCATGGAGTTCAACTTCCTGTCACAATTTCTCTGACCTCGGCTCGTGTGTACTCCCTGTGGATGTACACTTGTAACTCGTCTCTTGGGTGTAAATCCTACAAGTGTTTTCATTGCTGCCTGTCACTTTCCTGGCTATTGATTTTACAAGAGGCGAGCAAGCAAATACTTTTTCTCTGTTTCTCTGTGAGGGCTTGGTTAACCTGTTTTACCCAGAGATCTATGGATGCACATACATCAAAACTAGCATTTAGAGGAGATCCAGGCCATAAGATATCATTTTAGTCATTTTACAGTTAGAGTAAAGTGAAATTTAGACTTGTTTTGCTTCAGGAAGCAGATTTTGCTTTGGACTAGTGCAGTGTTGTTAATGTGAACTAAAACTAAACTATTCAAATTGTTTTTGTTAATTGAAATAAAGCTGAAATTAAATACAATTTAAATATGAGATGAACAAAAGAAATAAAAATGAAGCTGGAAAATTATAAACGAACTAACTGAAAATAAAATAAGCTTATGTTGTACAAAAATGACTAACACTAAAACTGAAATAAAAACAAAGTTAAATAGTAATATTTAAAAACGAATTATAAAAATGACAAAAACATAACAAAATTACAAAAACTTAAACCAAAATGAAAATACACTAAGAAAATCTAATTCAACGTATTAAAAAAATACTATAATAGCATATAAATAGTACCAAATTAGCAAATGGTGACACAACACAGCACTAAAAATATTTGAGAATGAGAGCATGTCATGCAACCTATCCATGCTGGCCTTGCACACCGACATCAATTTATATAGCAAATTCCTTATAAAAGTTTATAAGCCTATTTATTATACTACTCTAATGATGCAGAATTACAGTATATGGCTAATTGCATTTTATTATCTGCATAATTTAGCAATTATTTTTCCCTGTTGTCTTCAAGTCAAGGTAAATTTAAACAAATTAAGACAATAAATATAATGCATTTAATGTTATAACTGTGAAATATAGTGAGCTTCACATGATGATAATAATCATCTAGCTAGAGTTAAATCCATATTTAAACCAAATATGATTGCTAAGCTAAAATGACCCAATGACCTCTATAAGGCTTTTCACACTATGCTTATCCTGGGGTTAAAACTTTTGTTCTAACTTGCTTCAAAGTTCTAAATGTCTACATTTACACAACTGGGAGATGTTTTTTGTCCAGAACAACATTAACTACATTTCATCAGTTTTTGCAGTTGCTAGCTGCTGTTTGAGCTACATGTCTATACTGTCAAGGTGCTAGCATGTTACAGCAATTAGTTAACAACCAACAACCAATCTTAAACTAAACAAATCTTTCTGCATGAAATATTCATGTACAGTTGCATAAACGTTCACGCTCTGTTTAATTTCATTAACAGAGAAAAGGTTAAAAACCTAGCCAACAGTACTAGCAAATTTAGGAGGCGACAGTTCCACACGTGTACAAGTCACATACTTAATTTGTCCTTTTAAATATGCAAGTAAGAAACTTAACCCCTAAGTTTACACATTTGGAATCTCAAATCCTGACTACCCCAAATCAATGTGTTAACCAAAGGCTAAAAATGATCCTCAGTTAACCATTTCTTGGATCTCCTGTAAAGACACTAGACTGGACTTCCTTATATTCATCGTGCTCTCTTCAGTTTATTGTTATTCCTACATACAGCAGACTCACCTCTTCAGTGTTGTATAAGTGGACCATAGAAGTGAGCTCAAACAACATGCCAAATTCTTGGCATCAACCACTTAAGGACAACACAAACAGAACTCAAAGTCTGTGCAGTCTCTGTATACACACAGACATGCGGCCTGATAGGTCGAGGACAAGAAGCACAAGCCAAGAATACACTCATGCCGAAGGCATCTACCTCTTGACACCAAAAAGGTACACATAACAGAGCCCAGCACTCCATAAAACACTAGAGGATAAATCTAGCACAACAGCCTAGCCACTGAAATCAGGTTGAGGTGTGTGAGCGCACATGTGCATGCTCCGATGTGGTCTTGCAACTGATCGCGCGCGCTCGTGTGTAACCTATAAACCTACATAGAGGCACACAACATTTATCCGCTCATAAACGTCGCTAATATGACCACTAATCAATGCTGGAGTCTTTAGCGAGCAAGAAATTATTTAACAGCATCGGAACAGAGCATATAAAGGCGTCCTCACTGGAATCCAGGAAGGACACATGAGGCAACGCAAACTTCATACGAATAAACCTCAATATCTCATAAAGACAGTCCACGAGAAAGCTGGCACTGCATTGCAGTCCTGCCTGACCTCCAGCTCAGAGTTTCCCTTCACACCGCTGTCTGACTCGCTCCCAACATCCCGCCTTACCTACCTCACTCGCCGGTCCGCACGGAACTTCAGCATTTTCCCCCGGATCAATCATATAAGTCAGTGGGATGAGGCCAGGTTGAGAGAAGAGCAGGTTTGTGACGCCAACAGCAGCAGGAGCTATAGGGTGTTGGATACAATAATTGCTGTCCTCTTTTCTCTCCTTGAGCATGTGTGCTGTTGCCAGCCAGCTTCACACACTCTCTCTCTTTCTCCCTCACTGGCTCAACCTCTATATCTCATTCTGGCTCTCTTGCCTTCTAGATCTGCTCGGCTCAGCTTATTTGGTTACTGGTTTCGTCCGACTCTCTCTCTCTCTTCCTCACACACACGTGGGGCCTCCTATCACAAATCAGATTGAGATGTAGATGCTACCCCCCCCCCAAAGCCTAACCGAGGAGGAGTCATGACCAGAACTCCTCTGGGACGTCCATGACAGCTTTGGCTGTGGTGATGGGGAGTGGCTGAGGCAAAAAAAACAAAAGACATTACCCACTCAGGTATACGGCTTTGCATCTGCACCAGCCCCTTGTCAAACCTTACCCAGAGACGCACACATCATGCCCACACAGAAATAATTAGATCTGTATCTCACACAGAGACAAGCTCAGCATTAAAAGCACTAAGTCAGAGTCAGGCGTATTAAAATGTCACTTTGTCATATATATTCATGTCAAATCGACTTTAATTATGTCTATGGACATATATCCGGCCATTTTCCCCCACTCTAATGACACAGTCGTTTATCTTTGAGTAAGGGGTAAGTGCAGAAAAACTATTTAATTGGAAATAAGGCAAGTAGCACTATAATGTGAGAGACCCATAACCCCAAGCACTGAACTTTGGCTTGTAACTCATCACAAATGATACTTTACACTCTCAATTCCAAAATAAAAACAAAACAAAGAAATAATGTAGATTTACAGTGAGGGTGGGACTTGTGTCATATCATGTAGAGACCAGAATAATTCCACCTATTTTAACTTACCCTAGTAAGCAATCACCTAGCAACCATACAAAACACCCCAGAAGCCACCTATCAACCACCTAGCAGCCCCCAAGAACATCCTAGCAACCCCCTGGAGACCTACCAATCACCCAAAGCACGCCATCTGCCAGCTAGCAACCCCCAAGAACACTCTGGCAACCCCTTGCAGTCACCCAGAACCCCCTGAGAACCCCCTATTAACCACCCAGCATTCATCCAAAACACCCTAGCATACACCTAACAACCACCCAAAACACAATCTGAATCTGACACAATAAATCACCAGAATCCCTTAACAACCACCAGCAACCCCCATTTGAACACCCTAGCAACCACCAGGAGACCCTAGACATCACCCAGAACACCAACCATATATTAACCACGTAGCAACCCCATCACATTCCCATGGATAACCTGGCAACCACTAAGAACACCCTAGTGACCACTTTGCACGCTGGCAACCTTCCAAAACATCCTACCAGGCATCTAGCTACTATTCATCACCCTAGCAACCACCTAGAGCAACCTAAGGACCACTGTGCACCATAACAACCATCTACAACATCCTAACAGGCATCTAGCACCTACCCATCACCCTAGCAACCACCTAGAACAACCTAGAAACCACTTTGCGCCCTAGCAACTATCCAAAGCAGTTCCTAGCGGGCATCTAGCTACTATCCCTCACCCTAGCAAACACTCAGAACCCCCATCAACCATTAATCAACTACTTAGCAACCCCATCACATTCCCCTGGATCCCCTAGCAACCACTAAGAACACCCTAGTGACCACTTTATATGGTGGCAACCACCCACAGCACTCTAGCATTGTGGCAGTCAGTTTTATAAAGTCAAGCACCACTTGAATAGTTATGTCATAGTATTGAAGTTAACTGTTTCTGTGCAGAGTGATTAGCTGAGATAAACAGGCCTTAGTGACTGTGAAAAGATTATTATTTAATATCTCACCCACAGTGTACATCAAATGTGAACTAGATCAATAAGAAATTAGTGGTATCTGCTGAGGTAAGTCTTACGCTTTGCCTCAGCGAGGTGTTTCAGAGCTGTCAAATACACTGAAAACATACGGCAGTCATCCCAGTTCTTCTATCCGTGGTCCTCAGTTATAAGTGGTCTCACTAGATGGTCTCCATAATGTGTCCCCCACTGTGGAGGGATATGACAGCGACA